AAAAAAACTGCTTTCACACCCTTACCTGACCCTCTCCCTCGGCTGCTGAGTGGGTTTAAATCCTCGGGCGCCTCCCGTTCCCGGCAGTGCGCAGGGCTGGTTCTGACGTCATTCGAGAGGGACGGGGGCTCTCGTGCGGAACTCTGGGAGATGTCGTTCTCCGGCTGTGGCAAACGTAACGCACACGAGCCAATATTGCAAGCATCTCAGAAATAACCAACGTAAGATTTTTGTTTTTACTTTTCTTTAGTCTTTATGGCCCTGTAAGCTTCACCTGACCACGAGGGACCTTTTTAGGCAAATCGTTCATAGTCCTCCGAGGCGACAAAGTCATTCCAACGGATTTCATCAGGATGAACAGTGAAACACGAACCACAGAAAGACATTTAAATCTGAGAACTGGGGACACTTCTTTACTCAGAGGATTGTGGAATCCGAGGATATCATCCAGCCGTTCCTTGAAAAAAGCCACTGTGTATCGGTTTCAACATGTCTGGACAGCTTGTTCCACACTCCTACAACTACTTGAGCAAAGTAGGGCAAAAATTGAAGGTTAGACGTACATGCTCGCCTGCAGAAACTGTGGCCTGTTGCTGGAGAGTCAGGAGAAGCTGAGCAGCAATATTTTAGATTACCCCTTCCACCCCTTCCACCAGCCAGTAAGGAATACGATAGACAGTACACCCGAGAGAGGTGCTTACAGGTCCTCCAGGCACAAGGGGGCGCCAGAGCCAGGCCCGGCTGGTCTCCCCCGCAGGAAGTGCGAGACCTAACTCACACGTGTGTGAGTTTGTGTCTGGGCTGCAGTTTCTCTCTTCGGGATGTCTCGGCGCCGGCAAAGAAGCAGACCCGACCCGGTCCTGATGGACCAGGGTTCGGATCCGTCAGAGACGAGAGACTCCGGATCCGAGCTGGAGGAAGGAGTCGGGGTCAGGACTCGTAGCGGCCGCCGGACTGGAGCGCAAAGCACCGCCGCTTCTCAGACCCCTGCAGCCCTGACGGGCAGAACCGGCAGTACTCGGCACCTGAGGGCGGTTCGGAACTCGGAGTCTGATGAAGCGGCAGATCCGGGTTCGGAACCGTCAGGGGAGGAGGCGGAATCGTGTACTGGTTCACAGGCCCCCGTCTCAGCAGGGGAGTGTAACGTGCGGGGAGCGGACAGTGCCCGAACCGGGGATTCCGGACCCGGAGCGAAGAGGCGAAAGGGCGAGCCGAGCTCTGGACCGACTGGACGGAGAGAGCAAGAACCGAACTCGCCAGGAGCAGCGGACGGCGGAGACGCCGGTAGTAAGTGCCTTCCCACCGGCGCGCAGACAGAGACAGCCGACTGCCGCTCGCGTCCCGACGGCACCAGCGAGAAGGAGAACCGGGCAGGCGGCTCGGAGAAACGGGTCGAGCCCAACGGGCTGGAGAGGACTCCGGCAGCGGACGCAGCAAAGGAGACGGCTGGCTCGAAGCTGAAGCCCAGCCGAGGAAATGGAGCGGACCAGGTGGCGGTGCCGCTCGGCAAGCCCAAATCCGGACGGGTGTGGAAGGATCGGAACAAACAGAGGTAATCCGGGTCCCCTCGTGGTTTATATTATAGTTCCTTGTCTGAGTCCTGGTCAGGGGTCTGGAGTGATAAGGGCCAGTTGTGGGTTCAACACACACACAAAGCTTAGAGACATCTGTGATTCCAGCCAGCTTGTCTTCAGGAACAGCTCCTGGAGACCATGGGGGGGCAACATGCAGACTCCACACAGAAGGCACCACCAGGCCAGAGCTGAGCACAGGACCCAGCCCCCCCCCTCCCCGCCAATCCTGGCTCTCAGAGATTGTAACCCTAGTCTGAGCCCCAGGGGCTGAGGCCTGAGGAAGCACAAGGCGGACAGGGGTTCGAGTAGAGCATCCAGTACAATTTCCCTCTGTCCCTTGGTCTCCGCTCCTTGTCGCTGTGGTGGTTGTCGTGTTTCTCGCTGCTGGTTGCTGGTGTCGCTGAGCTAGTTCGGACCCGGTGACGTCATCGCCCTCCCTGTGTGCAGCAGGGACCTTAGCCGCCTGGGCTGGGGGAGGTCTCCTTTAGCTCACTCGGCTGGTTCCCTGTTGCGTTACGCCGGAGACCCGGGTTCACCCCCAGGTGCTGCGGGACGATCCGGTGGGGTGGAGCAGCGGGGGGCACACTGGCACACACATGCCGCACGAGAGCCCCGTCCTTCGCTGGCCCGGGGGAAACTGGCTCTGCAGGCGGATTACAGACACGCCACCGTACACAACCCATCCCACACAGCGTGAGCCCCAGTTAAACACTTACACGCAGGAGATGAGAAAACACGTCAGCACGTAATAAGTAATCCTG